GGTATTAAAGGCGGCTGACAGGTCAAGAAGAATAAGGATGGAGTATTGGTTCTGAGCTTTGCTTAGAGAAAGGTCATTAGAGACTATGGCAAAAGCATTCTCAGTGGAGGGCCCCAAATATCTGCCTCCCTGAAACCTTCCCTTCCCACTGCCACCAGATCCTTCCTGCTCCTTGGAGCAACCACTCCCCATCCCCTTCCCACTAACCTCAGTCTTTTCCACTTCCAAGTATCCCAGATCTCCTACCCAATCCTCCCCCTCCAACAGCACCACTGCTGGGACCTCCACCCCCTTTTCTCCATTCCCAGGCTCCCACTCCCCCAAACCACCACACTGCCTCTTCCCAGGAGATTCTGTCTCTGATTCCTCACCTCCTCTTCCTTCCATGGTACCCATCCCTCCCTGATTCCGTCTAGTCTTCCACATACCTATCCCTTTCCTCCCACTACACTCAGCCTGCCCTACCTTGTGTCACCCTAAAGCACTAGCTCCCCCATCATCTTCTCCCCTCACTGCTCCCTGATCTCCTCCCCCCTCCACCCCCACAAGAACTCCTGAACAGGAACCTCACACTGCTCTCACAGTCATTGGTTGGTTGGGTCAAGAGGACCTGCTGTGGCCACTGCCTCTGAGCTACACTCATTCAGCTGAGTCGGAGCGATACCACTGTTAACTTTCAGGCTATGTGTTTTGTGTGTTTTGGTTGCATTCTGAAGGAGTTCTTCTTAGATGTTTCCCCCTGATTCCAAAATGTCAGGGCTGAGAGCAATATTTTAAAGTGTTTTAAAATCTACTTGCAGACTCTGGCCTCTTCTGAGCTGCAAAGTTTTGTCAGCAGAGCTCTGTTTGTTAGGGATTGGAAAAACCACATCCTTAATTGACAGAATTATGCTGGCAAAATCTCTCATGCAGACACCGAATGCCGAAAAAGTCTATTAAAAATAAGGAAATCAAATGCCCATAACCTACATAAATACCAAGTACAGGTTGCCCAGTTCTGCTGCATACCTTTCCACTATGTGGGTGGTGGCTAAACTTACACCTCTGAAAAACAGAAAAGGAAGTGTTAATATACACACCACCCCTAAAATGCAACCTTAACTCTGTCCCTAGCCCTGCAGCTCCCACTAGCCACTGGGAATGGTTCAGTAAGGCTGGTGCAAAGGTTAACAAACGAACAAAGGAAGTGGAGGTTTCTCCATTTCTTGAAGTCTTTAAGTCAGAGTGGATGGCTTTCTGGAGGAGAATATTTTTTCTTTTTTAAATATGGAGATATGCCTATCTCATAGAACTGGAAGGTCATCAAGTCCAACCCCCTTCCTTCACTAGTAGGACCAACTACTGATTTTGCCCCAGATTCCTCTAAGTGGCCCCCTCAAGGATTGAACTCACAACCCTAGGTTTATGAGGCTAATAGTCAAACCACTGAGCTATTCCTTCCTCTCCGAAAGAAAAATGTGAAGATGCTGGGGATTGAACCCAGGGCCTGATACATGTAAAGCATGCGCTCTACCACTGAGCTATATCCCCAGCTACGTTAGATTTAGTCCAACACAAGGTATTTAGCTCAGTACAGCAGTAACTGGATGAAATTCTATGACCTGTGTTATACAGGAGGTCAGACTAGATGACCTAATAGCCCTTTTCTGGCCATAAAATCTATGATTCTACAATAGATATGAAGGACGAAGAACGTGCCATTGTTTGTGTTGTGTTCAGAAATGGGCAGGGGTAAAAGTAACTTAAAGGACTTACCGGTACTCCAGAGTCCTATGGAGGGGGCAGGGCCTCGGCCGGAAGAGGCATGGCCTCTACCGGAAGAGATGGGGCCTTTAAATCCCGGGGCTTTTAAATCTGGATTTAAAGGGCTCGGGGATCCGGCTGAAGCTAGGAGCCCCAGGCCCTTTAAATCACCCCCGGAGCTACCAGCTGCAGAGGCAGCTGGGAGCCCTGGGGTTTGGGCAGGGGTGAAAGTAATTTACATTTCTTACCCATATGGTCCAATCGCAAGCAAGCAACCCACCTCTCCTACGTACTTCATGGATCCCTCCCATTGCATGACATAGATATAGAAAATAAAGCTGCTACTTCTACTAAAAATACTGTCTGTAATAAAACTTTAATACTGGAATAAGCCTGAAAAAGGGAAAACTCACTGTCACATTTTTCTCCATGTTTTCCCTCCTCCTCCAGCCAGGCTGCCAATGCTAGGCTCCCTGCTTTCTCCCTGCCTGGCACTCAGCAGCGGCTGCAGGGGCTTCCCTCTAGCTTGCAGCAGGGAGCAGGGAGACTGGCTGAGGGAGGGAGAAGCCTCTCCCCTGCATAAAAACAGTTTAAACTCAGCTGTTCCCTGCGCGGTTCAGCTCCCAGGGTTAGGAGCCGTTTCTGGCATCATCCTTGTTAATTCACTCCCAGTTGTGAGGGGGAGGGCAGAGAAAGGTGTGTGTGACCATGGAAGGGGCAGTTCTTTTCTGCCCCTGGGATGATGGGATCTATTATACACAAAAAATACAATCAAAATCAGGAACCATTTCCAAGTTCAAATCTATCCCATTGCCTCCCCAGCAGAAGATCATGGTTGTGATGTCCAAACGGCTTGCAGATCCTCTTTGAAATGTTACTTTTAAAAAAAACACACAAAAAACATGGAGAACATGGTGGAAAGATGTGTCATGATGATCAGGGTTTATTTTGAGCAAATCAATTTTGCTAAAGCAACTAAAGATCACAGGGAAAGCAAATAGCCCCCATAGACAAAACCACAAAGGGATTGGAGGGGAAAACTGGATATTCAGGGAAATTATTGTGCCTCCTTTGAAAGAAATAGTAGTTTTCATTCCACCCTCTTTATATATTGATTTGAACACCTGAAATGTCCTTAGGACATTGGGTGCAATCTCAGATCTCTTTTTGTTTTGTCCTGCCTGCAGAGTGCACAGGCTGAAATTGAAAAACTTCCTCTAATAGCGGACTCGCTATTCATTTCTTGTGTGGGACCTTCTTATACTCAGTGGAATCCCATGCTGTATGTGAAATTGTGGCTTGGAAAGGGCCGATGTGCAGCATATTCATCTCGAGGCATGGCAGGACAACAGGGAGAGCAGCAGGAGCAGCTGTATGGCCCAATGTGAGAGATGCTATAAGGATGCTTTGCTCCATCCAGTCCTTCCCATGGATGCCCCTTTCTTGCCCACGCTGGGCTGGCCCACTCACACCTTCCATGTGCCAGGACTGAGCTGGGGGCTGGGGTGGCTTTGCTGTGGGTAGTGGTTCCTGTTGGAGCTGCAGCCCCCACCTGCCAACCCCTATTGCAGGCAGCAGCAGCAGGCATCTCAGCCATTCTCCCTGCTCACTGCAAGCTAGACCCTAGAGGAGAGCCCCTGCTGAGTGCGGGGTGGGGAGGAATGCAGAGCCTTACTGTCTGCAGCCTGGCTGGAGGAGGAGGGAGGAGACAAGAAACCAATGTGACAGTGAGTTTTCCCCTTCCATCTGCTTTTATTAGCTCTGGATTTAAGCTGTGCAGCCAAATGCTTGTATTTGTGGTGTATATTTGTATTGGAGAGATCCCTTCATCCAGGGGGCAGAAAAGACCTGCCCCTGCTATGGTCAAACACACCCTCCCCCCAGCAACTGTGAGTGAAATTAACAAGGATGCCAGAAACGGCTCCTTACCCCAGGGGCTGAACCATGCAGGGAACAGCTGAGACTAAACTGTTCTTATGCAGGGGGCAGGCTTCTCCCTCCCTCAGCCAGTCTCCTTTTCTTACCGGTCCTTAGGGTGACCAGATCAGAGAGGCGAAATATCGGGACGGCGGGGGGGGGGGGGGGGG